TCCTTTTTGGAAGTACATCATCAGACTTGCTTTCAAGGAACCTCTGGTTGGACTTGAACCTCCGAGCACTTCATTAGCAGGGAGCATTAATTGCATTACCAGAGACTCCAGACTAAAACTAGCTTGGTAAAGTAGAGGGTCAGTGAAAAAGAGACTGTAAATGAGATGGGGTGATACAGTAGCTGTGACGATGGGCTCAAGGATTGTGAGGATGGAGCAGGACTGGGCAGTGTTTCATTCTGTTGTACACTGGGTCAGTGTAAGTTGGAGCTGACTCAAGAGCACCTAACAGCAACAACAATAAATTCCAGAGGATGTTGAACTGTTAACTATATAGTAATCACATGAGAAGGAGTCCTAGTGGCACAGTGGTTAAGCTTACTAGGCTTCTTTAACCCACTGTACACTCCATGGCAGAAAAGACCTGGGGTCTATTTCTCTAAAGATTATAGCCTAGGAATCCCTATGGAGCAGTTCTACTCTGTCTAGGGTCATGAGTCAGAATCGACTTGCCAGCCAGCACACAGCTATAATAACAATCACATGAGAGTCAACATATAGAGCTTTTAGTGAGAATTGTGAGTGATCCCTAGAATGTTTTGCCGTTTGTGAGGTAGATTCATATTAAATCCAGAGATAGGTAGAATTGAGTTAGAAAATGAATTCTTTTTTTAAAAAAGTCAAGGTGTCTGTATCATTCTAGAATTCATCCGGAAGTTGTAACTTAGGGACAAAAAGATGAAAACTGAGAATAATAGAATTGATAAAGAAAATAGATCTTAATTGTTGGCTTTTAAAAATATTGCTTACCCATAGAATTTATTTCTGTTTTGAAACTGTTAAGTCTTAGCTGACTAGAAAGTCATTTTCCATGGTTAATGTTTTTCGTGAAGGAAATACTGGAAGAATTTAACTTTATTGCCATTCTTAACTGTGTTTCACTCTAAGAGTCTTTCTTTCTGAGCCCACATTCTTCTGTTTACCATAGATTGGTAGGTTCGGTGGTAAAGTATACTTGACTATATAACACTTGTCTACATCCAAAGCATGTGTCTTAGTTGTTGTCGTGCTCCCCCCCTGTAAACTTTTTAAAATATGAATCTTCAGTTCCTTGAATGAGCACAGTGTGAACATGGGCTAGAATTTAATCACTGAACAATATGTGTTAATATCCTGCCCATTATTATTTTTTGAAATTTTAAAAAGAGGAGCACTTTTTTTTTTTATTTTATTGTGATTTGGGTGAAAATTTACAGAGCAAATTCACTTTCCATACAGCTCTTTACATACACTTTATCTCATGACATTGACCACAATTTACCCCAATGCAACAGCTCCCCTCCCACTTCCTCCTGATAGTTACCTCTTCCTTGTGTCCATCCCTCCATGCGCTCCTGCCCCCTGAGCTGTCTCTCTGTGCATAAACAGCCCTTCTTTCTCCCATGATTGTTCTCTCCAAGGACTTTATCTACCTCAGGTAAATGTTCAGCTCATATGCCTGTCTTTTGTTTGGCTGGAAACCACAGGTGTGGTTTCAGTTCCAGACCTGAAGGGCAGCTAGGGGCCATAGTCTCAGTGGTTCCACCAGGTTCTATCAGCAAACCTGGTTCCCCCTGCCCCCCTTCTTTTTTTTTAAGAGGAGCACTTTTAACTCTTTAGATTATGATAGTATTTCTAACTTGAGTAATCTTTGGTACAATTATAATTAGCTTCCTATTGCAAGAGGCAGCATTTCTTTCTTTCCCCATTTCACCCCCTCCTTCCTTCTTTCTGCTAGAATTAAAAATAATCAAAATACATCTTGTGTTTTATACATTTTATATACTTAACATTATCGGATCTTCTTGAAAATTTGGTAATATCTGGATGGTCTTAACATTTGAGCACTCAAGATTGCATTGCCTAATTTTACTTGATGGCCACTCTGGTGTACTCCTTTTAAATAAGTCTTAAAGTAAATGGCATATCCTACATTAGTGTGCTGAGTCATTACAGCTGGCACATGTTGGTGCGCTTAAGGAGATTCCTACTGGGTTTGTAGTAAAAACACAAAAACATTTGTGTTTTCCTGTACCCATTTTTTGTCCTCTCATACCCTATTTATATACTGTTTTATATATTATAGCTCTGGTGGCACTGTGGTTAAGGTATTGGGCTGCTAACCAAAAGGTCAGTAGTTAGAACCCACTAGCTGCTTAAATTCTAGCCCATGTTCATACTGTGTTCATTCAAGGAATTGAAGATTCATGGAAAGACGAGGCAATCTGCTTCTATAAAGATTTACAGCCTTGGAAACCCTGTAGGGGTTGCTGTGAGTCAGAATCTACTCAGTGGCAGTGGGTTTGTTCTATTATTATTATTATTATTATTATTATTATTATTATATACCTCTTCTCTGATTAGTCACCCTTTCCCCCCTTCCTTTAGTTGATAGAATTTAAATCTTTGGTGCCACACTTGAAATCATAGCACTTTACCTGGTGCATCCACATGGCCTAAGGAAGGGGTCTAAGAATTACAGCTTGACTCTAGGACAGTCTTCTGAGTATGCAGACCCAAGTGTACCAAGAACAAGAAAGAGCCCTGGTAGTGCAGTGGTTGCAAAAACTGGTGGATATAACATGGAATTAAATGATTGATTTGTATAATTTTGTCATTAGTTTGTGTAAGATAATTTTTTTGTCACTTTTATTCACCAAAATTTCTAATATCTTGCTCGGTGACAGATAATCACTAATAGAACAGCTCTTTTGGGCTTGCAGAAGTGTCTTCAGTTTTGTTTTTCCTTCCTTTCTTTAACAAAGGTAATTGAAGTTTCAGGGAACAGAGCTGTGGATTTAATACTGTATGTTAAAACCCCAAATAAACCTAACAATTTTGGTGCATTCAGCTTTTAGGAAAATGGGGGGAAAGTCATGCAAAGAAGTTACATCATGTTAAATTAAAAAATAATTTTCAGGATGTGGCCTGGGATGGGTATATTCCACATTAATCTACAACATTATACAGTGGTCACTGATGATCACGACGACCATCAGGTACTTCCCTGATGCATACTGAGCATATATCGGAATATTGTATTTATCTAGGAAGAAAGATACACTAAACCAAAAATACACTAAGAAACCAAAAACCAATTTTTCATAATAAAAGTTGAATTCAAAATGGTTTTCCTGTTAATTTTTACATAAAAAAACAAATTTGGATGGTTATCTTCCTTGGCATTCAGTTTCATTATGGGTTTGCTTTAATTAAATACCTGGTAAATTTTGAAGAGGATTTCAAAAAAGGATTCCAAAAGGGAAGAACTCTGGAGATTTGAGAGGTGTGGTATATACTGGGAATGAGTTATCTGGTGTCCAGAGATGATAGAGTTATCAGTGAAGTTGTAAGAGGTTAGTGAATTTATAGTTTCTTGCTTTTAATGGGGAACAGAAGTTGAGATATTAATATGTGATCCTAAGCAGTAACATTTGGGGAGAGTGAAGAATGTTGGCAGATCAGACCCCAGAACATGAATTTTTTTATTATTACTATTTTTTACATTGCAGGAGAATAGGGTTTGTTTTCGTACATGATTTTGCATAGTCTTATTTTTACTTTGAGATAGGTGGATGGAAATGGTTATATATTTGGTGGTTGTTTCCCTGAAAAGTTCAGAAGCTTTATAAAGAACTACAGGGTGTGAGCAGTATGGTTAAAGAAAAGATCATTAAGATTCAGATTGATGGCACCTCTCTGTTCTTGCCCCATTTCTACTGATAACAACCTTGGTGATCAAGGGGCAAATTCCTTAATTTTCTGGGTCTGTTCTCTCATTTGAACAATCAGGGTTGAAGTTTGTAGCCTGTCGTTTTGGGCCTAGATCAAAGATTCTCAGGTTCTCTAATGTGTTGCTTAGATTACAGTATATCTACTAATGTGTGTCCTACTTGGTGCTTTTTTCCCCTTTCACTTACAGTAGTAGCTCAGGAAGAGCCCAAGTATTTTGCTAAGAGAGATAATGGGGTCTAGGAGGGGGAAGAATGACAGTGGGGAGGCTGAGATTGCTTAGGAGGCCAGCATGGAGTGAGGAGTGGGAAGGAAAGGAGAGGAAGAACATGGTCCTCAGTGCTAAATGCTAGGGGAGAGTGGAGGGCCTGTTTGCCCTGCCTCATTTTGCTTTAGGTTCAGGCCAGTTAAGAAATGAATCTGTATCAATGTGGGGTAAGTAAGAAGAGGTTTATTACAGTAGAAGGGCTGTTTGGAAAGAGCAAAGGCCTCTGCTAGACTCTGGCTAAGGGAAAGAAGTGTTTGCCTAGGGGGAAAAATCCTATTAATACTTCCCTAAGTAGTAAGGATAACAGGGTACTCATATTTTACTCTGCTTCATATTTAAGTGAGAATATGGAAGAAATGCTATTGATAATTACTGTTGTGAGTACCAGGAGGGAATGGAGGTACCATTCGAGAAATCTGTTGCTTTCTCCCATTTGGTAAAATATTAAGAAAACAAAGTGGGTGGTGTTGAGGACAGTGACACAATATATCCTTTATAAAGGATGTTAGGACTGCAACAAACACCTGTTAATCTCCTAGTTCCCCCGAGGTCATTTGCCTACTCTGGCTGGTGAGATAAAGTCACCTCCCTCACCACTCATTACACATCCCTCATGGAGGTTTGTGCTTGATCAAGGTTTTGTGCGTAGCTGTACTTCCCTTCTAAAGCCTTCATACATGCTCCCAGGGTCCACTGTTGGGAAAATGTGGGATGGTTGATCTTGTATTTACATCTGTCTGGTTTCTTTTTCAAAACTATACCAAATTTTATGTTTTAGATTTTTTTAAAAAAAATTTCTATCTAATTAATAGTAGATAAAAAAAAGTAAGCTAAAAAGATGTGAATGATTGATGAAGAAAAAGTATCATTAAGGTTGATTAGTCAACCATTCAACCATGTAAAAATATTTAGTCTTACATAATTTTATGTACAGTCTCAGTTTATTTTCTGGTTTCAATAGAACAAGTTGAAATCATCGCAGAAGGATAAAGTTCGTCAGTTTATGATCTTCACACAATCTAGCGAAAAAACAGCAGTAAGTTGTCTGTCTCAAAATGACTGGAAGTTAGACGTTGCAACAGACAACTTTTTCCAAAATCCTGAACTTTATATACGAGAGAGTGTAAAAGGATCATTGGATAGGAAGAAGTTAGAACAACTATACAATAGATACAAAGGTGAGTGTTTGCTTATAACTAAATATTCTGAACTAGGATTTCCAGTGTTATATGCTTATTGTAAGAAATCTATTAATTCATAGAATATAAGCAAATTGGTTTTGTTTGTCCAACAGAACACTGTAGATCTTGGAATTATTTTAAGAAGTCTGAGAGAAAAAACTATTTTCCTTTTGCACTAGAATTTATCCTTTATTCCCTCCCTCCCCCTTTTTTTTCTCTCATTATTCAATTTGAGACTGGGAAGTGGGAGGATTTTTTTTTTTTTTTTTTTAAATATAAAACTCAGCTGAAACTAGATTTTAAGAAAAACTGAACAATTTTAATAGTTTTTTTAAAATAATTATAAAAGGAATAATACTTTTTAAAAAGTTAAACAATAAATAATGAATAAAGAAAAGTTTAATATCTTCTCCATCTTTCCCTCATTTATTCTCCTAGGTTAACCAGTATTTAATAACCAGGTTGAGTCCGTCCTTGTTTTTCTTTTTTGTTAATGCAAAAATACATACATGGTTTTCTTTCAAACTTTTCCAAAAATGGATTTATATTGTATACATAATTCATGCTCAGAAAGCAAAGGTTGTGCATATTTTTTATTGCTGAGAGACTTTTTGCCAGATGACTTTTGGAAAGATGTTATCGAGTCATATGAAATGTTAGCAAATCACAGCAGCAATGCACGTGTGCCTGTTTCTCCTTGTATTTGATGTTTTTAATTTTCACTTGACTGATCAGTAAATACTGATGGGTATTTCCTTCTAATTAAGCAACACGTATTTGTATCTTTGAGATTGGGATTGAGTTGGATAGTCTAGGCTCTCTAGAAGGGAACCCTGCTAAAATACACTTTCTTTTAAACAAAAAATAATTTCTGTATGTAATACTGTTTACTTAGAATGCCCACTTAAACTAAATATGAATGTTTCCGTTAGAATCCATTATCTCTATATAGCGATATTTGAGTGTATAGAGTGTGGAACTTTATACTTTAAGACTTTATGAGACTTTTTATATTATTAAATGCTAATATTCACTTTGACCATTTTGAGAATATTGTTTAGGGTATAAAGTGGCTTTAGATACTACATGGAGAAAATACCTGTCAGAGTAATACTACTTCATGTCTTTGGCATTATGTGATCATTTTTTAATGGAACATAACACATTGCTTCAGTTTTAGGAAAGGAGCAGAATAAATTAATGACACTAATACTGCATTCTTATTTTTAAAGATCCTCAAGATGAAAATAAAATTGGAATAGATGGTATACAGCAGTTCTGTGATGACCTGGCACTCGATCCAGCTAGCATTAGTGTGTTGATCATTGCATGGAAGTTCAGAGCAGCGACGCAGTGTGAGTTCTCCAAACAGGAGTTCATGGACGGCATGACAGAACTAGGGTGAGTGCATATTATCCACAGGAAATTAGGTACATTACTATGAGAATTACTGTAGAACTGAATTATGTCATGAATTTCAAAATGTAAATTAAAAAATTGTTCTTGTTGTTATGTGCAATTACTGGCCCACAAATACTGGTATAAATGGGCTAACATGCCAAGTTTCCATGTTACACAGTTCTGGCTTTGCCAGCTATTTATATAGTATAGCCTATTCTGTTCATTTTATACTTTCATAATTTGTTTTGAAAGGAGGTTCATTAGTATCAAAATAAAGTTACTGTGCTTTATTATTTAACATGTTGTTGTTGTTATGTGCCGTGGAGTTGGACCCGACTCATAGCAACCCCTCCTTGAGTTTCTGAGGCAGTATCACTATGAAGTAGATTGCCCCATCTTCCTTCCAAAGAGTGGCTGGTGGGTTTGAACCGCCAGCCTTCTGGTTAGCAGTCAAGTGCCTTAGGCACTATGCTACCAAAGCTCCCAAGTGAAATGTACAAGTTTCTGAGTTATTTCTTAATGTGAGGCCATGAACTCTGAATTTATAAAATCCTAGGATTTTAAAACTGGAAGATTATTTTAGAAGTTAGTCATCAATCGCCCCCCCCCCCAATGCCTTGACAGCTGATTAGCTAAATATCTTTGGATAAGTAGATTGAAAAAGTCATAGTGAATAGGTTTTACTAATGACCTGTGGTCTAAAATGAGGCTACAAAACTATTCAGCCTGTGGGTGAGTAACACCCTCCTTGGGTTTCCGAGGCAGTATCACTAATGGAAGTAGATTGCCTCATCTTCCTTCTGAGGAGTGGCTGGTGGGTTTGAACCGTTAGCCTTCTGGTTAGCAGTCAAATGCCTTAGGCACTAAGCCACCAGAAAACTACACTAGTCACTTAAAAAGGGAAATTTTAATATAAAAAATTATTTACCAAGTGAAAGGTGGTTAATTGCTATTGTTGTTGGATACCTCTGAGTAGATTCTGACTCATAGTGACCCCATGTGATGGAAAGCCCAAGGATTTTCTGGGCTGTAATCTTTACAGGAGAGATGGCCAGGTCTTTGTCTTGTGAGGTGCTGGGTGGTTTGAACTACCAGCCTTTCAGCTGTCAGTCAAGCACTTAACTGTTCTGCTCCCAGGACTCCTTGGCTAACTACTAAAGGAGAAAAGAAAACTAATGTATAACAGAAGTAGCAACCCTGGAAGCGGCTGCCACCCCTGGGGCTGCGGGAAGTGAATAAAGAAGGAACTTAGCATTTAAGAGGTTCCTACAAACCTGAGATTCAGGCCTCCAAGGAAAGGGTGTGGCTGCTCTAGGAACATGATGCCTGTGATGCCTGCCACTCTGGTAAGGAGGAAACTGGCTCACGGCCATGTGCTATGGCAGAAACTCTCACAGTGGTGAATGCTGCAGGACCTCCTAGCACACTGAAACGCTTGCCCTCGGCAGAAGACAAACAAGATGAGTTCCTTTTTCTCTTCCAGCCTTTGCTGGCAAAAAAGATACAGTTTGTATTCTGTAGTCCAATATCACAGTATGGTAAAGAAGAATGATTTTACAGCTGAGATACAGTAAGTTACTTTTATTTAAGTACTGACTTAAATAAACACTACATTCTGTAGCCAAAGCTATCTGAGTCCTGAACTTGCTGGAGTTTTCTATGGTAGAACAGGTTTCATTAGAACTCAGAGAAAACAATGTTTCACTCTTTGCATTTGAAACTGAATTCATGTAAAATGTAATGAACTTTGAAATGAGAATTTTGATTTACAAACTAAGGTTCTGAAAGGTGTTATTAAGAATATAGAAAGAAAAATCAATGAAACAGAAAATAGAAGGGCTATAGAAAAAATCAACAAGACCAGAAGTTGGTTTTTTGAAAAGATCAATAAAATTGACAAACCA